AAATATAAACAAATTAACCAAGTATTTAAATACATAAATTATAACCAAACAAATTTACTTTAAAATAACGCTTGTTAAATTTACGAATATGGTTTATTTGTATTAATTACTATAAATTTGCAATTGAAGTAGTTAAAAACCGGGTTCTGTAACATGTAAACTATAAACAAACCAAATACTTAAATTAAAAATTGTACAACCCACAAAAAACACATCGTTTACATTAATTATTAGATTTATTATTTTTAATTTATGTTATAAATTCGATGCTGAATTGACATAGATTGCGAATGGAAGGCAGAAGCGGGTAACGTATGCATTGCATCATTCGATTGGAGTTGCAGTGGAATTTGTCGCTCAGTTGAAAGACTCAAAGATGTTCACAAAAGATGTGGTGAAGATCCCGCAGCTCTTTGGAATGCACAATATTGAAAATATAACGAATTATATCCTTAAATCAGTTAGTTAGAGCCAAATATGATGAGATCCGATTTTCTGTAACGTTTATCTTGTGTGCTAATACGTCTTTACTTATACAACAAATATATAATGTTGCAGAAAAAGAAAGCAAAAATTTTGGTTAGATAGTGGTGCAAAACATTTAGTTGTATCGCTATTTGTTTATATATGATCCAAGAAATAGGAGCAAACGATTTGTTTGATGAATTTGGGGCGAATTTGATACTCTTGAAACTGTTGTGGTAATATTTGGGCGTCTTCAACCCGTGCGTTTATGGAGTTAGAATTCTCCGATCCAAAATATTCCCAACTCCAAAACTACAGCATTTATGGAGTTGAAATGCTCCAATTATATATCGAATATCCCTTACAATTTATACACATGTCATGGATAGTAACTTAAAGTATTGTTTGTAATAGTAATGTGACACACATGGTGTTTTGGCTTATTGATATGCCTGCTTTTACTTTAGTTGGGTGATGAGAGTTTGACTCCTTACATCTATTTTTTTTCTCTCATAAGGCTCTTGGGTATGGTGGCTGACTATAAGAGCAGCTTAAGAGTGATTTGGCACCCAAGCGTGAACACAGTCCCAACTTTTCATAGTCTTAATATGGCGTAAGGTGGTTTACGGACGGCTACAAGGGAGAGAGAAGCTCTCTCTCTCTCTCTCTCTCTCTCTCTCTCTCTCTCTCTCAAATGTAAACAACATCATGGTGTTGGTGGAATAGTGTTGTGATTAGATGACCAAAACCTCTGCAATAGCTTCATCTGTTGACCACGCCCACGAACCTACTTTATGGCGTTTTTTTATCATACCATGAAGATGAAGATAAATGGTGTTAGGTGGAGCTATTTATCTTTTATATTTATAACTAAATTAAAATAGACTTGATGCTTGATTTCCTATTTGGTAATTATGTTTTACATTAGATTATAGTGTTTGGAAAGGTGTTTGAGATTTTTTTTTTGAAGTTAAAAAGGACTTTTGTCAAAAAGAAATTATTGACTTATGAATATAAGAAAATGAGTTTTTTTTTTAAATGTTTAGATTAGCTTTTTATTGACAAAAGTCATAAGTCAATAAGTTAAAAAGTGTTTGGTTCTTAAAATTATTTTTTGTTTGTTTTTTATCCTAACGAGTTATAAATCATTTCAAAAAGTCATAATTTGTTACTTCTTGAAAACTTCTTTTTAAAAGCTAAACAAAAAAGAGTTTTAAAAGTTATTATTAGATCTCCAAACACTTGTTTGATTTATTGACTTTTCAAGAAGTCAACAAGTTAATAAGAAGTTTTTAGACGAACATTCAAATATCCTCTAGGAGTGTTTTTTAAAATGATTTATTAACTTATCCACTTTTTCAAATAACCAATAAGTTAAAAAAAATTGTTTGGTAAACACTAACATTTTAGGGGAAAAAAAACTAACTTTTTTGAAAAGCCAAGAATTGTTGACTTTTCCAAAAAGTTAATAAAACACTTCAAAAGTTCTCCCCTACATGCCCTAATGTTTTAGTATTTATTATTTTTACAATAGCAACTTATAAGTTTATACTTACAACTACTTTAAGTTTGTTATTCTATTTAAAATTTAAATTACTAATAAATACAGATTATTTACTCTTTTTTTTTTCAACCCAAACTGTTTTTATGAGTTTTGTCCAATTTTGTTTTTATAGTTTCTTTTCAACTTTGTTTTTATATGATTTTAAAAAATTAGTTTGCTTATTTTACAACCTAGGTTGTGATTCATTTTTACAAAATTGTTTTCTATGAAGTTTTTTACAACTCTTTTTGCATATTCGTTTTATGAATGTTTTCAAGGGTTTAGGTTATTTTTGGTCACTTAACTTTTGGTTTTGTGATCATTTGGTCACTTAACTATTTTTAAGTTTTAAAATGTTATCAAACTTTTGACTTTGTGCTCATTTAGTCATTTTACTTTTGGTTTGGTCTCATTTAGTCACCTAACTTTTAGATTTGTGCTCATTTAGTCACCTACTTTTAAAATTGTGCTCATTTAGTCACACAAATTTCAGAAAATTTTAAAAGTTTAGCGACTAAATGAGCACAATTTTAAAAGTTAGATGACTAAATGTGACCAAAACAAAAGTAAGTGACTAAATGAACACAAAACCAAAAGTTTGATGACCTTTTAAAAGTTAAAAAGAGTTAAGTGACCAAATGAGCACAAAACCAAAAGTTAAGTGACCAAAAATGACATAAACCTTTTTTTTAAATAAATTTATTTACATGTATGGAGGTATGTAAAACATATTTGTTTTAGAGATATTAATTTGCTTCAAACTGAAGGGCACTTTTACGTATAATTGGACATAATCCACTATAAATTGTCTTACTTATTGCAACATTTTCCATCGGGTCTATTTTTTTTTTCAATCAAACTGCATCAAGTACCATCATCATGGTGGAAAATAGCGTTGTACTTTGCAATTCGCTTACATGATGACACCCATAATACACAAAAGCATATATGAATATACATTGGTATTTCTTTTATTTCCTCTATTAATGACATGATATAAATTTTAAATTGATTTGTGTCCATGTTAAGGTTTTAAGGATGAAACAACCATTAAGAATCTTGTTCACTTTGTGAAGTTGATATGTTAGGTTTGAATAGATTGTAATCATGTTTATGGATGAAATACTTAAATAAAACTACTATATAGAACATTGTCTAAAATTTGGTCCTATGAAACCTTATCCATATCGAATTGTGTTGTTCAAACGAACATAAGATCATCCGTTACAATGTGTGGGGTGTAAACACTACTTTAACAACATTTTCAACTCAAAAAACGTGTTTTCCATATTACTCCAAAAATGTTGTAATATTATTCATCAACTTCACAGAGAAAGATTAGGTATTCATGCGAGCCATATGGTGGTGTGGTACGTGGTAGGTTTAGTAACCCCCCGCGGCCAAATTGGCTCCAAAACAAATAAAAAGGTGTATGTCGCATTCATAAAGGATTGTCATTGATATACTTGAGGAAGGTAGGAATGGCGTCAAGTAGGGGTGTTGATCGGGTAATTTTTTCGGGTTTCAGGTAATTCGGGTTTTTCATGTTAGAAAAATACCCATTACCCTACCCAAACTAAATTCGGGTAATTTGAGTGGGTAATTCGGGTATCGGGTCGGGTTTGGGTAATTCGGGTATTACCCGAAATATATACTTTTATTTTTTAATTTCACCTGAAAATAAATTTAATGAAATAAATATATCGTGCTTTGGTAGTATTGTTTATATAAACAAACGAGACATAAACGGAGTTACTCAAACTTTGAACATTGAGATTTTTTAGTCAATAATACCTGAGATATCAAGTAATTTTTTAACAACTTAATCTAATCTAATAATATGTTAAAAAACAAATATTTAAAGATCTTAATTTAAAAGTTTAAAATGTTTAAGATAATTGTAACCATAAGTTTTGCAATGTTCTAAAGTTTCGTCAAGATAATGAGTTTGTTAGTTGCAATAAAAACTATAATTTATAAAACAGATAAGTTTTAAAGAACATGATGATATATAAACAATTAATTTTAATATTGTTAGTATCGTATTGTCATAATAAATAGATTCATGTTTTACAATCATGATAGTTAGTTTAAACGTGATCAAATACCTGTTATATAGTACAAGCTCTATAAAAAAAAAAAAGAATTTTTTAAATAATTTGGGTAATTCGGGTATACCTTAAACCCAAAAAATGTACCCTTTATCCGACCCGAAAAAATAGGGTTACCCGATTACCCGAAATTTTTTACCCGATACTCGATTTACCCAATACCCGAAAAATTCGAGCGGGTAATTCGGATATCGGGTATTTTCGACAGGGCTAGCGTCAAGTCCACATGGCTTTTATGGGTTGGGCTATACACGTGCTATAATGGGAATTACAATGGGAAGCAAGACTGTAAGGCAATACAAATTTAAGAATGCAGTTACTCAAAAAATAGAGCATGGTTTGAGATGAATCACCTTTTGGACCATTTTTAGTTAAAAAAATGGTGTTATGGTTTAAGATTGTCTTAAAGACAAAAGTGAAAGCATATAAGCAACAGTGATGTTACTTTATAACATATAAATTAGGGGTAAAGTGTGGTTCCATTTAAACCAAACTAAATTGACAAGTTTGGTTAATAGGATTACTTTAGGTGCTACCAGATCCGTTTTTGATTTTGTTTCTCTTGGGTTTTTCATTACGTAAATGAATACAGATAAGTAGATAACAATTAAGATACACTTAGGGCGCGGGCCTAGAATTTTTTTGAGTATAGGAGCAAATTCAAAATACAAAACACAACTTATATATTCAACAACTTTTTATTTTTACCTTTTATCTTCTTCAAAGTCACAACTAACAAACTAACAAGCAATATATTATTTTAATGTGTAATGTTCCGAAAATCATAACATAAAAATTTTTGTTTCTAGATTAATAAATTGTTAATACATATTTTTTCCATAAAACCAAGACAACCAAGATTTTGGATGATTAAGATGAGAGATTGAGTCTGATCCTTTAGATGGTACAAAAATTTAAAATTTTATGGCATTGTTGTAAAACTTTTGGCTTTGTGGTACGTTTGTAAAAGCTATTATTAGTGTGGCAATTTTCTAAAAACATTTAACTTTGTAGCTTTGTAAATTCGAAAATGTAACATAAATACTTCCGAGACGAGGCTTCGTACCCTCGGCAAAACCCTTGATCAGACCACTCTCAGTCGTCTAGTACAACTCTTCTCCTCAGGCGACGGCGATCTTCTGTGCTCCGGTAGCAACGCGGTAGGGCCTTCTTTTGGATATCTGGCTTCTTATCTTAAAGTTTTAAGCTTTTATTGGGTATGTTATACGTTTGTATTACTAACATCTCATTTGATTTCGTTTGTTTGCTACACGTTAGGGCTAATGGTCGAAAAGATTAAACTCCGAAAGTAAAATTTAAATTTGAATCACAAATAGTATATTTTCGAACCCTAAATTAGGAATTCGGTGCTGTGATTTACGACATTGCAGACATCGACATGGAAATGGCGTTTTTAAAATGATTGATAACTTGAAGACTGAAAGTCTGGAACTAGATTCTTCACCTCTTTAGTTATTTGGAGCAATGATTTTTAAACTTGATGAAATCCGATTTCAGTTAGATCCTTCATGAACTTCAATTACGGATGATATCATTTACATCCAAACTTGCCCTTCCGCACTAGCTTCATCTCTTCCCTTTTGACTTCGATTTGCTGCCTTTGTTGCTGTTTAAGTGAATTATAATAGTTTAAATCTGTACACTCGAAGTGAAACTTTACCACCATTGGTGCCCTATGCAGTACAGTGCACATCTGAAAACTGAAGCTTTTTCTTCTGTCTCATCAAGCATCATCTCCCAGTATCAATCATGCAGCAGGTGAAAGATTTAATTACTTTCTTATAATTTTTTCTTCTCTATCTATAATTCTATCGTTTTTGGTTATCTTGGAGCTTTCTCCTTTTTTGCCTCACTATCTATTTTCATGGAAATCAAAGGCTGGTGGTGGCTCAGAAACTGAGGTGACATGGGAGGATCAGCAGAACATTAACAAATTTGGGAGATTGAACAATCGGTATCATGAACTTGATGATGAAATAAGGATTGCCATGGTATTTTTTTTCTTCCAAAAGCAAGTACTTTCTTTCAGTCAGAAACCATATTGTTCATGTTATATCAACAGTTAATATCCCCCTTTGTAGTATTTCTTTTTGACTTAATGGATTTAACGAAAGAACTTAATCTACTAAACTATATATGCACTTGTCATTCCATAGGAACAAAAAAGCTTTTTGTCTTTAAGATGGATTGGATTGGAAATTCTTGAAGAAATATGATTCCTTTCATTTTGTTAATTTTCATTCCTTGTGTAGTTTTTTTTTCTTCATTCCATCATTCAATGGAATGAAGTATTTGCAACATAACCTATTTTTATGTATATAGCTCTTACTGACACATCTTTCTTTACTAAATTTCATGACTATAGTTAAATTAAAGTTTTATTTTCTAGAAGTATTTCAAAATTATTATGTTTATTAATTTTTTAAAATAAATTAAAAATGATAGTTAATAATGTATACCATAGAGCTCAAACTATGCAACATATCTACATAGAATATACTGTGTGGGACCACGATTGACATCAATGAGACAAAAGTTGAAGCTTTTTGTCTCACCCTAAAAGGTTAGAAAAGGACATGCTCTCAGTCTCTTGTCTTGACAAATGACATAAATGCCCTTTTTATCCTCAACATCAAAATAGCCCTAGAAAGCTGGTCCCATCCCATGTAACAAATGCAGCCGTAGGCTGCATTTGTTACATGGGACACAGGAGGGGACTCCCCTCCTGGGCAAGCTTTCTAGGGCTATTTTCAATGTTGAGGATAAAAAGGGCATTTACGTCATTTGTAAAGACAAGAGACCGAGAGCATGTCCTTTTCCAACCTTTTTAGGTGAGACAAAAAGCCTTTAACTTTTTGTCCCATTTATGTTGGTCTTGGTCCCACTTCAGTGCATGCCAAACACAGGACAAGGTCGTCTGTTATGTTAGCATAACAAACATGTGAATTTGTTTGTGTGAGTGGTGTAGGAAGCAAATGAGAATTTTGAGGATGCAAGCAACGAATTGATTCTAACGGATGAGGAGGTGGTTCGTTTCCAAATTGGTGAAGTGTTTGCTCATGTTCCAAGAGATGAAGTGGAAATAAGAATCGAACAGATGAAAGAGACAACAACCAAACATTTGGAGAAACTCAAGGATGAGAAGGAATCGGTAGTTGCACAAATGGCGGATTTGAAGAAGATTTTGTATGCTAAGTTTAAGGAGTCAATCAACCTTGAGGAAGACTAGACTGGTTGGTGGCATCTCATTTTATTATTGTACCTTGTGCTATGCATGTTGTACTCTGCATATCGAGTACTGTCTACCCTTTTTTGGAAAATTTCAAAACTCCAATTCTGTTTTGTTGGTTTGTTACTTGCATAAGAATATTTGATACAGATTTTGGAAACGTCATAGATGATTTCAAGTAGGGGTGTGTATTGAAATAGCAACCTATTTTTATTTATTTTCAACTATTATAGCATCATACTTTGATTTATTGCGAGTAAGTTACACGAATGGTCCCTATGGTTTGGGGTAATTTATGTGTTTGGTCCCTAACTTATTTTTTTAACTCGGAAAGTCCCTAACGTTTGTTTTTGTCTGTCTTATCTAAAAAAAACTATTATTTAAATAAGAAAAAATTGTTGGATAGGTAGGGTAAAGTGAGGGGGTTGGGGTTGGGGTGTGTTTATTTAAATATTTTAAAAAATCAAGGGCAAAATAGTTTTTTTAGGTAAGACAGGGACCAAGCGTGTAACAAAAACAAACACTAAGGACCTTCCGAGTTAGAAAAATAAGTTATGGACCAAACGTGCAAATTACCTTAAACCATAGGGACCATTCGTGTAATTTACTCGATTTATTGCATATTTTTACTTCTAAAGGCATAGTGCTTTGAAAAACTTTCCTAATTATAGCTTTGTACTTTCAATTCTCTTTCTTATTAGAATATTTCTAAAAAATCTACCGGATGATGGCATCGAAAATTTAGTTGACAATGCTATAAAGAATATATTTTCAAGAGTTTACTGGTGGAATAGGAAGAAGAAAGTAGGATATTATAAAAAATAAATCAATGAAAATATTGTGTGGTGCTGATGAGAAATACACAACTAGTGAATTACATTTTGAAAACACATCTAAATGCAATTTTGTTTGCTCAACTATCGAGGTATTTTTGCATTTTGTTTTCATAGGAATGGAATCTATCAAAAAGTTTGAATCCGAAAGAATTGGAAAAAAGGAATTGTAATTGTAATTGTTGGCCCATTCACCAACTATGGGTCTATGACATCCTTAACAAAAAATTATATATGTTAGTGATGGTGGATATATATTTTTTTGGAATGACATACAAAATTAAAAAAAAAAAAAAAACAAAACAAAAACACTAACAAGAAACTGACAAATAATTACAAAGTACAAGCTAAAGTAGGATTTTGAATCCAAAATGTCCGGTCCATCTTGTATTTTTCTTCTTCCTATTACAAACCTAAAAAAATGATCTAGCTACTATATTATAAAAAATGACCGATTTCTTTGGTCTCTCCGTTCCAAGAAGACAAGTATTGCAAAGTTTCCACATAACCCAAAACCTAGTTGAAAGCCCGTATTTTTCGTTAGATTTATGAGAAACTCCCATTTACATTATTGAATAAATGTAAATTGTATTGTACATAAATAAATAAACGAGAAGTTTCTTACTAGTTATGTGTTTACGAAGTGATTTTTGTATTTATAATACTGTATTTATGTTATACGGTTAAATATTATAACAATATAATATTTGTATAAAAATACGGTTAAAAACGTAACGAAAAACTAAAAATATAAATTAAAAATAAAAACGTAATTATGATAAATGATCTAAACGAAAGTCGTAGTATTCATCAATACGAACTCATCGATATAAAGAACATCCAAATCTAACTACATACGAATAAGATATGATTTTTCGTAGTTTTGCGTTTGACACGATACATTGTATGTGTCGTAAAAAGTGAGATGAAGATCGGTTGCTCATTGGACAAAATAATCTAAATGAAAATCGTAGTAATCGTCAATACGAAATTGATGATATAAAGGATGTCGAACACGGAGTTTGTATGAAGAAGTTATGAATTTCGCAACGTTATTTACAATATAAGCCTCATCGAACCGAAACACAAAAAATCAAATAAGAATTAGCTGATGAAGTCTAACTTAAAGGTGTAGTACTCTTCGATACGAAAGTGAGGATATAAAAACCATCGAAAACATAGTCCATATGCAAAGTTATGATTTAGAAAAGTATTAAATCTGGACCAACCAGGAACCGACACGTGGCACCACTAGAGGGAGACACGTGTCACAATCATATGTCACCCTTCCTCCCACGAAAAGCACTCGGATCTTGACACGTGTCGGTGTGCAACACGCCTCCCTATTTTGCCTATATATTCGTTCGTTTTTCTACTCATTTGGTTGCCGATTCTCTTCAAATTTCTTCCAAACTCTCCCGATTTCTCGTGGCCCAATCTTAGGACTTCTTAGGTGTTAGTAGCGAAGATATGGAGCACTAGAAGTCATGGAGAAATAAAGCTATTAGTTTCAAAGTTTTGACCGCGTAGTGTCCGATATTTTGCTAAACAACCTGTAAGTCGAGCTATGCTTACCGTACTTTAAGTATAACTTATATTTATGTTTATAAACGTTATTATGGACTTATAAATAAGATTTATCAGTAATACCAGTCGTTATACTAATTGATCTACTTACGAGAATGATGTCTAGGCTATATTGCTGAGGTGCTTAAAGTGGATTTTCCAAACAACATATCTTTATATCTCAAAGGACTCCTACTGTTAGGCTTAATAAAGTGTTGTGCCAAATGTATGCTATTAGGGTTTATTTATTTTGAAATGGTCATGTCTATGTTTGGTTTAGTATCTAAATATACTCTATAAATAGCGTGCATGTAACTTTAGGGTTACAACTTTTGAAGCTCTCACAGAAAAGTTTCGTCTTTAAGAACTCTTCTAGAGTTGTGTTTAATACAATCATTCGGCTCACTTTTGATCATTATTGTCTCTTATCATTTATTCATCTCTTTAATATAGAATCTATCGATCTTTATTTTTATTTTAGTTGGTATCAGATCAAGAGATAGTATAATCAATTCGTTATTCTTTTGTCGAGTAAAGGGTTTTGTTAGGGTTTACGATTTTCTTAGATATGTTCTTATTGTCTTAATAGTCTTAATCGATTGTAGATCCCAGATCTAGATCTCTAGATTTCCCTTGAACTCGATTCAAGTTTACACATCTGGTTCTATATTTGTTTCAATGAATTCTTGATAATATGCCTAACGACGATCCTCACTCTCTTTCATTCAATCTATCAGGCAACATTGGATCAACGACAAGGATTCCAATCCTTTTTCCAGAAGATTATAAGGTATGGGCTCTTCACTTTGAAGATTACGTTCTTGGAATCAAAGAGCATGGTACCTCGATATGGCATGCAATGACGCAGGAAATGTACACGTATTCGGGTACCAAAAAAGAAGTCAAAACTCTGGTGCATTATAATGCACTCATTATTGAACATAATGATATTCCAAAGGATGAGAAGAATAAGCTAATATGTAATATAAAGGAAATGAGAATCATTCGATTCGCTCTTACTCCATACACTTTTCATCTTGTTAGTGCATGTGACATTGGGAAAGGTATTTGAGATAGGTTAAAGGAATTGTATTCAGGAGATGCCGACTTAGAACATTCTTTGCAAACAACGCTCTTATTGGAGTTTGGATCATTTGTACAAAACCTGATGAGAAGTTAGATTAGACATTTAATAGATTCAATCATTTATTAAGTAGAATGCTCAAACACAATCTTGAGCGACGAGTCCTTAAACAGAATGATAGCTTATTTTATTTCGTTATTTTTATTAGTTTATTTTAGATTTTTAGATCTTTTTATCATTAATGTATTGTATTTTATTTATTTTTCTTTAGTATGGATCATACCGGGTGCTTGTTATGTTGCATGAGATATTTTGTAGGTTTTTCGGTGCTTGTTGCGGTTGCGGGTTGATTGGAGACGGGCTTAGTGGGCTCCCGAGGCATTATTGGGCTTGGCGGAATCAAAGAGGAAGAATTGGGCTTTAAAAGTTATTGGCTTGGATTATTTGGGCTTATGAAGATGGATCATAAATTTCTAATTTTGGGCTTGGAGCATCTATTTGGTGGCTAAATGATGATTGGTGCATTTCAAATTACATGGACAAGGAGGGGGGACCAAAGGAATCTTTGGTAGTGGAAGGGTGGAGTGGCTTGGTGGACCAATAGCATTACTACAACATTTGCGCGGGTAGAATTTTCGTCGCGCGGGTACCCGCGCAACTACCCAGTTTGAGCATTTTGGTCATTTGGCTTGCCATAACCCTTGGGGATCAGATCTAGAAGCTCATTCACGATTTTCCACCATTGGAGACTTGCAAGAGGCGATTTTAGGAGCTAGAAACCATTTCCTTTCATCTTTCCAAATCTTAGGTAGTTTCTTTATGCAATTAGATTATTGTTCTTGTTACCTTGTTGCCATGAGTGGCTAATACTTTTATTTGGTTGACTTTGGCTGAAAACCAATGAATGTTTGTAGGTTTTGAAGGATTTATGTTGATTATCAATTTATTCCATGTTTATGATTCTAGTTTGCAATTCTTATGCTTATTTGATGCTTTGATCATGAGCTTAGTATTTGATTGAGCAATGGTTGATTTATTTCATTGATTTTGCATTGGATCATTGAATTTATCTAGAACAAAGGCTTTATGATGGTAGAAATCATCTCTAGCTTATGAATCATATCTCCTTTATGGATGTGTAAGCATTTGACATCCTCTAGGAATTGGGGATTCCTTCATTCTTAAGGCTAATTGATTTCTTGGGATTAATTGCTTCAATTGACCCTTGATCTTAATTAAGAAGGTGTGTTGTGGGCTTCCCCAACCTCCATACTACCTATGAGGAATCTTGGCATATCATGCTTCATGATTGCTATAACCAATTTGGGATGAAGGATAAGTTTTGTATTAGATCCTAATGATAAACACATAAATGTTCATTGTGTTGAATTGCCTTAGTTAACCAATTATTCCCAATCTTTGAGCATCTCATCAACTTGCTTAATTGCAAGGTTTTTTTAGTTATTCAATTATTTTAGTTTTCAAGTAAAATCAAACACCCCCCTTTTAGTTTAATTGTAGTTAGTTAGTTTAATTTCACTAGTTTTATTGAATTGCATTGGTGATTGAATACAACCCTTTCCCCGAGGATCGATACCCCTTTTTACCATTATATTACGTTTATTTAGCAATCAAAGGGTGTAATTTGCTTGGTAGGCTTGACATCCCGATCAAGTTTTGGCGCCGTTACCGGGGAAATTGGTTTTTGTTATTTGATTGTTTATGCCTAGGTTTACAAGAACCGGTGAACTACTCTACAATCCGGAAATTGAAA